TACTAATTCAGAGAGTTAGACAGAATTTTACTTTCCATAATTAGAGATTAATTCTGCTTTCATATCTGACTTAGTATAAATCTGGAAAGACTCCCTTTCTAAAGAGAGTGCTGCCCAAATTTGTACTAATTCAGAGAGTTAGACAGAATTTAACTTTCCAGAGTTAAAGATTATTTCTGCTCTAATATCTCGGCTTATATAAATTATGAAAAGACACTTTTCCTACGGGAAGCGCTGCCAAAATTTTCTTAGTTTAGAGCAGCTAGATTATATTTTGATAGGTGATTCAGACAATCCACCCAGGAGACTTTGCAGTTGGTTTACCTTCAGCTTAAGCACTGACTTAAAAGTAGACTTAGATTTAGCTAATAATAAAGTTTTGAGCGAGGATGTATTATGGAGTTGTATTCTTCATACACTCATGATCTTAGCTTGGGGATTGGTCTGCCGTGTGTTACAGGTCCTTTTGATCATTTGATCCAAGTTCAGGGCTAGATCCAGCTTGATCCCTTGAGGATCACTTACTGTTATCACTGATAATAGGTCGGTTGCCGATTCGTCGGTTTACGACTCAATTTCAACTCTCCCTCTACACTCAACCTAAAAGGCTTTAGCCCTGGTGATCTTCGTTGTTTTATTAAGGTTTTCGCCCGGACTTTTATTGAATGGCCATTTAACAAAGCTGCTGAGTATTTAATTAAGGTTGGTTGGACAAGAGGTTGGGGCTCGCATGGCTAAAGCGAGGGGTATGAGTGTCGAAGGTGGTTGGGGTTGACTCCGTGTAGTGTGTGGGCTGTTGATTTGGTTCGTTGATGTGATGACAGGTATGTGCTGTGAATCAGATTCTGGATTTGGTTGCCTACAATCACACATATACGTATTATTGTGAGAGACCCCAGCGAAACCATGAAAAATGATCGTCACATATTWAACCCTTATATATGTATACATGGGTATACTTGGGATGAATGTCTGCATGGGTTGAAGAGCCCCCACATTAGAGCCCGCTCAGAAGCTGAGACAGAGGGGCCTAGGGGAGGTCTCTCCTTTTATTCTTGTCTCTTGCTTTTTGATGATTTTCTYAGTCGGACGTTTGGTCCTGGGCCGRGATTCGAGGTCCTTGTCCARGACATCCCAAGCCCTAGGCTCTGCAGGGGAGGGGTTTTCCCTCGCGCAGAGCCTATTTGATTTACCTACYGAGACACTCAGGTCRAGAGCYTAAGGTGCAGCGGCGGCTGCACGACTTTTCCTTCAGCCGTGCAATGTCGTGAAGGGTTAGGCCCTCACGATACTTCAAGTCTGACACTTGAGTGTCATAAGCGGTACTCGGATCCATGAGGGACCGCTTGATTATGGGCACTACATAGTACGCCATCGTTGCGACTGCTTGTGTATGCCTGCATTGCAAGTCGATGTGAGTATGCCCTGCGTCCGCGCGGTTTTATACTAAGTT